AATTTGCAGTCTCCTTCCAGATGAAAATATGTATGCACATAATATCAATTCTGGATTCTGGATATCCAATAAAAAAAACTACTTTCCTGGCTATTTGCCATATCGATTATTGAATTATATCTGTTGAACAGTCAAAGTGAGAACAAGATAATGAAAATCCTCTAAAATCGAGGAATTAAAATATCTTTCGAATCGGATGAATGATATATTATGATGTATGATGATATAAGAATATAACTCACCAATATATGCATTATTGAAATGAAAATTGAAATGTATAGAAGTATACTTGTATAAACTCTGACCTTGACATAATTCAATGTTCTTCGTGGCGAGTCAAGAAAGTACCTTGTTGTTTTCTGTTGAATATACCGAGAAAGAATTAATATTTCCATCACATAGAGAATGCGAATTCTCAATGTATTTCTTGATACAAATATCACGAGATATATCCATTATTTCAGGTTTATAATATATCTGAGACTATTCTTTTTCAATACTTTCATACCCAATCAAGGGGTTCAAACTTGAACGATGGAAACTTTTATAGATCTCTTATCGCAGATTCGTGATTGAGTTTCCTCAATTCAGAATTTTTTCTTCACGTCCTGTATGATGAATATCAATTCGTCATACATTCAAAAACAATAATTCATTATTTCTGATCATGAGAATGAGTATGAAATTCTGATGACAATTCTGTTGATTTGACAATTTTTTCTCTATGACTATATTTGTTCTCCTTCGTTTTGGTCTGGATTATAATAACCAAATCAACAAAATGGGATGTGAGAAGAAACTATGGAGATTCATTACGAGAATGTATGTATTTGTACAGGATGATTCACCATGAATATCCCCTCCTCTAGCTCACTTATTTTTGGAACGATTTGATTTGATATGATATTTGATAAATTTTGTTTTGCTACATCAAAAACTTCATGGTACACAGAACATACGATCTACAGGGTACTAGTTGATTTTTCTCAATTTATTTTTGAAAGTATATCAAAAGTTGTGATAGGGTCATGGAAGCCGTTTTGACCAATGCCAATAATGAATAGTTCTGGCACAAAAAACCTTGCAGTTGAGAAATCCTGATTTTGGACAACCTATATTTCTGTTATCGTCTACGCTAGACCCCAAGTGTGATACATTGATGAGATCAGCCTCTCAGGTTGGATCAAAAAATGCGGTGAAATATAGGTTGTTCCATTCGTGGGTTCGATTTCCAGCACGGGCAAGGAACTTTTTTCAATATTTTATTTACGAATTGAATATTGTGAAGTTTCGGAGCATCGGCTGGGGATAGTCCTGCACGATTCGCTGTTGCGTTCCAATTGACAGTGCTGCTCCTAAAGTGGCGCATGGAGTTAGTAACAAAGCCTACACAGAACACGCAGAAAGATATGATTATGTGGTTGTGAGCATCAGAAAAGAAGTAGGACGGTGTATGTAGGTGGGTGTGGAAAAACTACCAGCTGAGCGTGAGAGCGGGCCAGCTGCTTAAGTAGACCTCGGCCTCGGGGGTTAACGATGATAGTTAGCAGGCCTGCCACTGCGCATATGGTAGTGAGTACATTACTAGCCTACAAAACACAGCTGAAAAACTCTGAAAAGAGAGCTGATGGGCGGTGCCTGAAAAGGATGTTAGCCAGCTCTCTTGAGCGAACCACATCAGTCATTGAAAACACTTGGGGTTGGCAAAAAGGTCCCATTGGGGACTAGTTGCTGACGTGGAAACGTCCCCCACCAGTACCAGTAGGTTGTTCCATTTAAATAGATCAACTACTATCCTGTAGATCGTTCATTCGGAGCACCTTCTATTTTTTTATATAGCGAAAACAGTTATTAAAAATCATTTCGAATGATTCTCCAAATATTGGGATCGGTTGGGAAATAACTGAGCTAGAGGGGGGGGACAATCATGGTGAATCACACTGTACACCACATTCATCAATTTATATACAATCTACCCCATTCTTGAGAGTTAGGTTCTTTACTGATTGAGGACAAGAAAAACTGAAAATACCCAATGAACTCAGACAAATCAAAACCTTTCTGGGCATGGTGGTCGGTTCGAATATATGCTATTATCTCCGAAAAACAACACGCGAAAAGAGGTGGAAGTTGTTAACCATACCTTTTCTTGAGTGAAATAACAACTCAATATGGTTAATGAACAATCATCTCATATGAGATGTAGAGTCTAGAGTTCGGAAATCCAGCCACCGTGAACTTTTTTCTTCAAGTGGAGAAATTCTTTGTAGTTCTGCTCAGAAATTGTAGAATAATACTCAATATATTCACGCCAAAAAAAAAAAGATAACAAGTCTGAATTATTGACCGCCTCAGTTCGAATCGTTTAAGAATGCATCTTTGTCGAATAATTAGTCTCTCTCGCTATATGTTACCATTCATATGCCCCTTGTGTAACGATTGGAAAAACGATCTGTTCATTTCTGGTATATTCTCTTCCGCACAAAAATGTCCGCGAACTACTGAATCCTATACAAAATCGCTCATTGAAGAACTTCAAAGGTTTTCAATGTAGCCATCAAATCCCTCAATTGGGCTTCAAGTTGCAATTGAACAAAATCAACTCCCAAGAAATAATCCCTGCCAACTCTAAATTCCCCTCTATATCACACATCGAAGGCCCCAATGCTGCTGCTCCCCGTAGAATGATTAACGCCTGCAAGTGTCCAGAGATATCACAGGCCTTGAAATGTGTCTCAAGAACGAAATATTTTCTCCCAACCATTAATCACTGATTATGGGACACTGATTCTGGTGAATATATGGCTATATTGTTGATCTCAGCATTTGTTCCGACATCTTGGTCTTTATTATGGTGACGAAATCCAGAAAATTCGATGTACAATGGATCTGATTCTTTATCACAAGGATGTTTTCTTAAGCAAAATATGGGTCCACGTGTATTCCCCAATTCTAATCTCATTCACACAGAAATCACCATTCACTAAGAACTTCTATATGTATAATATCGCTCAACAAAGACCTCCTAGGGCTCCTAATGTAACGATCTCATTCAAGTATAAAGTGGAAATGAAACAACAATAAATATTTCACTGCTCTACAGTCAATCGTGTTTATTAAGGAACAAAACGAAATGATTTTCAATATGAAATAAATTGAAGCCTCATCACAATAGCTTTTTTCTCCTAGGTCATTACAAATCAACTCCCAAATTGGCAGGTACTCCGAGTCTAATTCTCCTACACACAGGAATCTTTCCTAACTATAAACTTCTTTATGTTTGATATCGCTCAACAAAGACATTCTATAGTGTCCCTAATGTAACTTTCGCATTCGAGTATCACAGTCTGCCACAGTCTTTGATACCGGTTGAGTTTTAGGGTTCCAAAATGCTTTCACTTGAACAAAATCGTTATTTTCTTCAATTCACAATTTGATCATGTCAATCAACAACATGTGTTCATAAGAGGCAAGTTTGTAATTCTACAACGAAATGTTTTTTGTTTTCCCAACCATTAATCACTGACTATCATCGAGTCTAGTATCTGTTGTTGCTGTCCCCCGTAGACAGATTTGCGTCTGCAAGTGTCTAGATATATCACAAGCACTGCCACAGACTTCGATACTGGTTGAGTTCTAAGGTTCCAAAATGCTTTCACTTGAACAAAATCGTAATTTTCTTGAATTCATAATTCAATCATGTCAATCAACAACATGTGTTCATTAGAGGCAAGTTTTTAATTCTAGAACGAAATGTTTTTTGTTTTCTCAACCATTAATCACTGAGTATTCGAATGGGATACTGATTCTTATTCATATATGACACTTTTGTTGATTTCAGCAATTCTTTTCGTGACATTTAAATATTGTAGCCTTCAACAAAATTCGATGTAAGAAGGATTTACAGCTTCATTACATGAGAATTTCATAAAAAAACCTATGATTCCTCGTGTATTACCTAGGTCTATTCTCCTACACACAGAAATCTCTGCTAACCTCAAACTTCTTTATGTATAATATCGCTCAACAAAGACCTCCTAGTGTCCCTAATGTAACGCTTGCATTCGAGTATCAAGTGGAAATGGAACAAATTGAATATTTCTACTGATTCACAGTCATTCATCCCCTTTATGAAAACAAAACGAAATTAAATTCAATATATAATAAATTGAAGCTTCATCACAACATCTTTCTCATCATTTCCCATCACAAATCAACTCCCACATTGGCAGCTACATCATTGATCCACGGCAAAAAACTAGAAATCCTCGTATAAATTCCAGGTCGATTCTTCTTCGCGCACCCTTCACCCCAAGAAATAATCCCTGCCAACTCCAAATTTCCCCCAATATCGCACATCAAAGGCCCACCAGAGTCCCCAATGCAGGCATCAATACCCCTCTTCAAATAACCCACGCATAACATCGAGTCTAGTATCTGTTGTTGCTGTCCCCTGTAGACAGAATTACGTCTGCAAGTTTCCAGAGATTTTTTTTTTATAGCTTGGAGCGCACGAAAGGGAATCCCTGTAATGTTCAAAGAACATCGTGCATTCCTAGGGAGGATAGGGACAGGAGGTAGATATTGCAGTAGGCTTCAAAAACCGTTGAGTCTCGGGAATCCAAAAGTTTCACACTTGAACATAATTGAAATTCTCTCCAATTCACAACTTCATCATACAGACAGTATTTGAGCAGAGTTTGTATTACCAGAACAAGTTTTTTCAAGCATCAATCAATGAGTATGCGTATGAAACACTGAGTATTCAGTTAGTATTCTCATGTGACAATGATTCAAATGGAAAGATATTACTACTGTTGATTCAAGCATTTTTCTCCGTGCGTTTCTGACACTCTTGTCTTTATGATGGTAATGCAATCAACAACTCTCGATGTCAGAAGGACCTACAGCTTCATCACAAGAAAGTTTTTTGAAAATAACTGAGTCATCCTGTATCTTCCAGGTCTATTCTGCTTTACACATAAATCTTGGCGGATTGAAAACTTCTATATGTATTATGTCCTAGGGTCCTTAATAACACGCTCGCATTCGAGTTAACAGTGAAAATGAAACACCAATGAATAGTTCTACTGCTTCACAGTCATTCATTTCTCATGGAAACAAAACGAAATTAAATTCAACATATAATAAATTAAAGCTTCATCACAACATCTATCTCATCATTTTTCATCACAAATCAACTCCCACATTGGCAGCTACATCATTGATCCACGGCAAAAAACTGGAAATCCTCGTATAAATTCCAGGTCGATTCTTCTTCGCGCACCCTTCACCCCAAGAAATAATTCCCGCCAACTCCAAATTCCCCTCAATATCGCACATCAAAGGCCCACCAGAGTCCCCAATGCAGGCATCAATACCCCCCTTCAAATAACCCGCGCATAACATCGAGTCTAGTATCTGTTGTTGCTGTCCCCCGTAGACAGATTTGCGTCTGCAAGTGTCCAGAGATATCACAGGCACTGCAGCAGACTTCAATACCGACGAATAGGACGTGGAGTTCAGGGGATCAACAATCCCCCAGCCGGATATCTCGCACCACGTGCCAGAGCTGATAGGCGCTGTGTTGGACAAGCAGGCCGGTTTCACGGCCTTGCTGATCTCGAAGCCTGGGGTGGAGACTAGCAGGATGGCCAGGTCGTGAGAGTAGTGGCCTAGCTTCCTGAAGTCGGGGTGGGGGATGAATCTCTCCACTCGCAGGTGTTGCTCGTAGGGGGAGGATCCTGGAAACAGATATGCGTGAGATTATCTTGTTATACGACGCAATACCTATATAGTGGAGTATACTACGGCCTTGCCAAAAATGCTATCTCGGAAACTAAGCGAGATGGACGTATAGTTACTCTGGAGAAAATGATCCCCATCGAATTTTGAGCAACTTTGGTTTTTGTGTGTGGAACCCTTTGACATATCGACTTGAAATTTCGCCATCTTTTTGTACTCAAAACAATATCATGTCATTTAAATATGAAGGACATCGGAAAATCTAAGGTGGTTTTTCCGGGTTTTTTCGATTTTCGCCATCTTTCTGTACTCAAAACAATATCATGTCATTGAAATATAAACGAAATCGGAAAACTTTAAGGTGGTTTTCCCGGGTTTTTTCGATTTTCCACCGGAAGTTTGTTGTAACCACTCTACAAATCGCAAAAGTGGTCCGATCGATTTCATTTTTTGTGAAAACAACTCTATCAGGGAAAGACAAAGCCTATTGAAATTGAGCAGGGTCGGAAGATTCCAAGTGGGTTTTTCAAGGAGATTCTCCGAAACACACGGTTTCCTTTAAAACGACATATCTCCTGAACCAATAGACTAAATCCAAATTTGAAAAATGCACCGTATGACTTTTTGATGACGCAACAAATTATAATATTACCATTTTTTCGTTCATCCATCGGAAAATGGAGAAACAAATGAAAATCGAAACATCAGAATTTGAAATCCTTTCAATTCAATATATATCGAAAACAAATGGAAAATTCGAAAATTATCAGAAATGCAAAGTTATCCACTGGAACATTTCCTACAAATTATCACCCATATTTTTTGCTGCGAACTCGATAGTACAGGAAATAAAGTGGAAAATATGAAAAAAAAAATTTAACGACCCATAGGGTACCATGAAGATTTATTGAATAACAGAGATTATCGATAGATGAAGCTCATCGACTTCCACTGAACCATGGAATATTTTTTCCTTTTGTTGATTGAAAGATGGAACAGAAGTGTTGAAAATTGTATTCTCAGATAATTACAAATATCTCGAAAACAACTGAAAATATATGAGAATGTTATGGAAACAAAATTATTCCTTTTGATAGAATCTACAAAAAATCCGATTAACATTTTTTTCTGAATTCAATAGTTCGGGAGATACGATGAAAAAACTAAAAGATTCACAATTCAATAGATAATCACTTGCCAATAAAAATCAAAACAAAAAACAAAAGAAAGTGAAAAAAGCACACTCGACTGTCTTGATTTTTTTCTCATAAACTACGTACCTAGCTTACTCGACTGTCTTGATTTTTTTCCACAAACTACTTACCTAGCTCACTCGACTGTCTTGATTTTTTCCCACAAACTACGTACCAAGCTCACTCGACTGTCTCGATTTTGTCCCACAAACTACGTACCTAGCTCACTCGACTGTCTTGATTTACCACAAAGAAGAAATATGTTGGCATTGTTTCAACTTTCTTTAATTTTTGTCTTCTTAGTCCCTATTGGCTGTCGAGTGGGCTAGGTACGTAGTTTGTGTGGAAAAACCAAGACAGTCGAGTAGGCTAAGTACGTAGTTTGTGGGAAAAATCTCCAGTTCTCTGAACTTTCATAGCGTCGTATACACATCCTTGGTGATCAATGATAGTTTCAATATTAAAATATGCTCATGATATAGTGCCATGGCCTCTACTTCCATCTTACATGAGCAATGATAAAATATCATCTGCTTTTATAGCGTCGTATAAATTATCTGACCCCAATACTAATCTGATACCTAATGAAAACTACATCTTTACTAATCTGATACCTTTCAAAAACTACGTACCTACCTCACTTGTTACAGTCTGAATAATATTTCTTCGCGTATGACTGAAATTAGCATAGACCTACGCGCGACTTGCTATCCTTCAGACTTGCATATAGATCAGCAATGTCTATCATGACGTTTGTTGACATAAGTTACGACATCGTTCCTGAACTCGAAGTGTTAAAACCTTGAATACAGAGATGTTCGTATGTCGAGACACATTCGAATCGGCTAATTCAGAGGCGTGCAGTAGGTGCTGACATGACATTGTTTTGCGTGACCATTGTCAAATATTCAACATGCCAGGAAGACGTTTGAATTCGCAAGCACAAAGTCTTGTATCTAATTTGTCACAATATTCCACAAGAAAAAAGATAATAATGGTCCTTTTTTCCCGTTCACATACAAACAATATAGGTATATCATAATTCTTCCTGATCAATAATAAAAATAGTCAGACCTCACTTCAAGAATATCATCATGATGTACATAATTTTAGTGTGTCGCTGATGCCCTCAATATTTCTCTACGGAGAGTTTCGAGTATTGAAATATGTTCTTATACAAACGGAAGTTTGAGTACGCCAGGGGAATCTAGGACTGAAAGAAACCCATGACAGTAGATCTGTATGATTATTTGAAAATGGAAGTACGCAATGTGATCTATACTATGAATGAAGGAAGTAAGTGATTTCATTCGATACTTCTAGACTACCTTCAACTGACTATTTTACAGAAAAACTGTTAGAAGAGTAGTCCTGTGATACTTTCTTATACCTTTATATAACTCCCAGTATATATTATTGATAGTTGTTCACTTGTTATATAAAATAATAAATCAGATATTTTTATACTGTCGATTGTGTTCCTCATACTGTGAATAATCAAGCTCTGCTATCAGGTTATGGGCCCAGGATATCGCGAAGAGTGATTCGGACGCAGTAGAAACATAATCATTTTCCAAAAAGAACAATTCTTCAGTTCTCTGGAATTTGGAAAAATATTCACAAGTTTTGACATCCAAGTGATTTTTATTCGAATTTTGCTGTCACCAAAAAAAAAAAAATGTCAATGGACCAAATGTTGGAAGAAATAGCTCAACTCAGAAGAGAGCTCGACTCCAAGGCTAGCATCAGATCTACCGTGATATCTAGTTCAGTTGGCGGGTTAGCAGAATCGAAACACCTAAATGGATCCAATTATAATGAGTGGAAATTCTGGATGAAGAATTTTCTCATCGATGCTGGATTATGGTGCTGTATCGAACCAAAAACTGGAGAAGCAGTAGATACAGAATTGGATCAACGAACTCTGGCAAAAATAAATCTTTCCTTGAAACCATGTGCTGCAGCGGAGACTAAAAAGGCAAAAACCGCGAAAGAAGCATGGGAAAATTTGAGAAAAACTTATGAAGATTCTGGTATTGTTAGACTAGTTGGACTGTATTCAAGTCTTTTCAAAACAAGATTTGAAGAATGCACTTCTATGCAGGATTACATAGACCGTATATTGAAGATTGCTGAGCAATTGGAAAACATAGGTGAACCTTTTAAGGACAATGTTATTGGAGGGATAATACTGGGTGGTTTACCGGACGAATACAAACCGTTACTTCTTGGAATTCAAGGTTCGAAACAAATAACAACCACTGAATTTGTGGAAAATTTATTGCTTCAAGATAATGTTAAAGCTGTGGCATCATCTTCAGAATCAGCTTTCTTCAGCCAAAAATTGAAGAATAAATCGCAGAAATTCAAGAAAGGTCCAAGATGTTATAACTGCAATGAGTATAATCATAAATCCCCTAATTGTCCACATCCAAAGAAGGTTTCGAAATCCGATAAAAAGGAAAATACCTATTATGCATTCACATGTGAAACGTTGCCTGAAAAATCCATGAATACAGACTGGATAATTGACTCTGGAGCTAGTGCCCATTTCACAGCATATTCTGGTTGGTTGAAATCATATCAAGATCATGAATCCAGAAATTTATCGATAGCAAATGGTAGCAAGCTTCATTGTACAGGAACCGGCGACGTAGAAGTTTTATTAGATAATCATAACTTCATCAACATAAAACAAGTTAGTCATGCTCCTGATCTGAAAATGAATTTGTTGTCTGTTAGCAAGATTGTCAAAAATGGCTGTTCAGTTATCTTTGATGGAATTAATAGCTGTAGAATCACTTCTAAGATGATTCCACTGGCATCAAAAGATATTATAGCAACAGGTAGTGAGAGAAACGGAATGTACTTTCTCGATCAAGCAAAAGATCAACAAATTCAAGTAGCATATCAAGAGGACTCATATGAACTGTGGCACCGAAGACTAGGACACCTGAATGAACAATCGATGCGGACTTTGAAAAAGTTGGTGACAGGACTAAGTTACTCAGGCAAAAAAGAAATACCGTGCGAGGCTTGTATCAAGGGCAAATTTCACCGAGAACCATTCATCAGAACAGAAGTCCAAAAGTCTGAAAATCTTTTAGATATAGTTTATTCCGACGTTTGCGGACCCATGCAGACAAATTCCATTGGTGGTGCTAAATATTTTTTGACATTTACTGACGATTTTTCAAGAAAAACTATGGTTTATTTTCTCCGACAAAAATCAGAAGTAATCGACAAATTCAAAGAATATAAGGCACAAGTTGAAAATGAAACTGGAAGAAAAATCAAGAATCTAAGAACCGACAATGGAACTGAATATGTCAATAATGCACTGAAAGGACTCTTGAAGACGAACGGAATTAAACATCAGAAAACTGTCCCTTATACGCCCCAAGAAAATGGTATTGCTGAACGGCTCAACCGCACTCTTGTAGAGTCTGCAAGAAGTATGCTGTCGGAGGCCAAACTCAACAATGAATTTTGGGCTGAAGCAATATCAACAGCTGTTTACCTGAAAAACCGATCACCAACAAAAGCTTTGAAAGATGTCATTCCAGAAGAAGTTTGGACTCGCAGAAAACCGGATTTATCTCATCTCCATGTATTTGGATGTAAAGCTTTTACATTTATACAAAAGGAGAAACGTAGAAAGCTAGATCCAAAAGGAAAAGAATGTATATTTCTAGGATACACCAACGACACTTCTAAGATTTTTCGTTTATTCGATACTGTCAACAGAGAGGTATTCGTTTCCAGAGACGTTATTTTCATAGAGCAGCCTGCTGGTTTTGAACATC